CCTCTCATAGTCTCATACTATATATAGAGAGACAAGAACGACTCTCCTTTTCGTCGTAAAATTTCTCTCTCAACCAGAGAAATGGATTCTAGTGCATCTTTTCCTATGCTTTCTATTCTCCTTCTCTTCCTCCTCGTTTCCTGCACTCTTCCATCCCTTACGCTCTCTGCTTACCCTTTCCACTGCCATCCAGCCGACAAAAGAGTCCTCTGGAAAATCAAGAAATCTCTGTGAGAAAAACAAAGGAAGCTCCCAAAATGATGATCCTTTCCATTGAACTTTATAGTATTTATATACATACAGAGGGGTTCCTTGTTCCCCAAGACTTTCTAAAACAAAGTTTCCTAATCCAGAAAGGAAAGAGACTTCCTATACAAATTAGTATGGGTACAGATGACTTTTAAACCGGGACTCTCGCGAGTCTTCTTATCTTCGTCCAATACTCCCCCTCAAGGTGGTGCATGAGGATTGCGAATGCCCAACTTGGGAAGGAAGAAATCAAACTGTTGTTGTCTGAGGGCCTTGGTGAAAATATCAGCAAGTTGTTCATCGGTACGGACATAGGCAAGTGCAATAGTGTCGGCTTGGAGCTCATTGCGAATGAAATGACAATCAACTTTAATATGTTTGGTCCGCTCATGGAAAACAGGGTTTGTGGCAATGTGCAGAGCAACTTGATTATCATAGAACATGCGTATAGGTTGAGGATGAGAGATACCCAAAGATGATAGCAGACCTTTTAGCCACTTCAACTCACAACTAGCAGTAGCCATTGACCGGTATTCAACATCGGCAGAGGAACAAGAGACAGTATGTTGTTTCTTGGTTTTCCAGGAGATGGGGGAATGTGCGAACATGATAAATTACCCAGTAAGAGAGCAACGAGTGAGAGGGCAACTCGCCTAGTCAGAATCACAGTAGGCATATAATTGCAGATCACTATTAGAGCGCAAAAATATTCCTTGACCAAGACGTTCTTTTAGATAACAAACCACACGTAAGGCCGCATCCCAATGATCAACTCAAGGACTCTGCATAAATTGAGCTAGGACATGGACGCAATAACTGAGCTCTGGTCGTGCAATGATTAAATAAATCAAATGGCCCACAAGACGTCGATACCATTCTGGGTCATCCAAGAGCTTGCCGTCGGCAAGAGTAAGTTTATGATTCTGAGTAATAGGAAGGTGAGCAGGTTTGGATCCCAATAAGCCAGCTTCTGTAATAATATCAAGTGCATATTTTCTTTGGCAAAGAAATATCCCCGATGATCCGCGAGTCACTTCGATGCCCAAAAAATATTTAAGAACACCCAAGTCCTTCATGTGAAAACATCGGTTCATATACTGTTTAAATTTGCGTATGAACTTTGGGTTATTCTCACAAACGATTACGTCATCAACATAAACCAGGACGTGCAAGACAACCCCATCCTTGCAATATGTAAATAAGGAATAATCGAAATAGGACTGTTCAAACCCAAAAGTTTTCAAGGCAGCACCTAACTTAGACAACTAGTTCCGAGGGGCTTGCCGCTAACCATACAACGATTTTCGGAGTTTGCATACCTTTCCAGTTCTAGAGGCCGAAAAACCTGGAGGAGGTTTCAAATAAACCTCCTCATGGAGATCATTGTGTAGAAAAGCATTGTGGACATCCATCTGATGCAATTCCTAATGTTGGGCCGCAGCAACTGCTAAGAAGATTCGAACTGTGACCATTTTAGCCACAAGGGCGAAGGTCTCATTGTAATCAAGACCTTCAACTTGAGTGTTGCCCAGGACTACCAACCGTGCTTTAAATCATTCAATGGATCCATCAGAGTTGTACTTGATTTTGTAGACCAATTTACACCCGATTGCCTTTTTTCCAGGTGGGAGGTCTTCCAAGGTCCATGTTCCATTGTCTTCCAAAGTCTGTCTCTCTTGGCGCATAGCCTCTCACCACCGAGCATCAATCATTGCCTCAGAGAAACGAGTAGGTTCTCGGCCTACAGTAACAGCTGCTAAGAAATGTTTGTGTTTCATAGAAAAATTATCATATGTCATATAATGAGTTATGGGATAAGGAGTACCTGAGGACTGAGATGATGCAAGAGAAACAATGGAGGGGTCTAAGCGACGAGTTGAGTGTGTGACAAAGTCTTGTAAATAGTTGGGGGTCCGCTTTTCTCAATGTTCGCGGCCTAATGCCTCTGTGGTGGGCTGAGGAGCAATTGGAGTTTTATTATCTCTGTAATCTGTCGGGCTCCTTGTCTCATCAAGGGGACCTGCCTCCTCATCATTACCCATGTTCGGATGTCCTTCTTCATTGATCGTGTCACTCCCCCTGACTTCTATATGAGGTGTCTCAGATACCATGTCAGGAGGAGTGGCCCAAGGCAACCCAATATTTTCTTTGGCTACGGGAGGACTGGTTACAGAGGGTTGAAGTTCTGGAGTGGCAAAGGGAAACTCGGCCTCACTAAACACCATGTCTCGTGAGACGAAGTAATCACCAGACTCAAGGTCGTACAATCTCCACCCCTTTTTCTCGAAGGGTACCCAACAAAGACACATTTCCTACTCCTAGCGGCAAACTTTTCACGGTCCCTAGTATGCGAGAAACATAAGCAACCAAAAACTCTGAGACGTTTGTAAGAAGGACTTTGTCCAAATAACATCTCGTAAGGTGTTTTACCACCAAGAAGGGTCGAAGGTGTCCGGATAATCAAGTATCCTGCGGTCAAAACACACTCACCCCAGAAATTGATCGGAAGATGTGCTTGAAACCTAAGTGCTCTGGCTACATTCAAAATGATGCTTTCTCTCCACACGACCATTTTGTTGTGGTGTCCCAATGCAAGAAGTTTGAAATAAAATTCCTTGCTCGCCAAAATATGGCTTCAAGCATTTAAACTCTGTTCCATTATCACTTCTTACTACCTTAACCTTCTTATTAAATTGCCGTTCAATCATGACACAAAAATTTTTGAATGTTTTACCAACTTCACTTTTTTCAGCTAGCAAATAAATCCAAACCGCTCTAGAATAATCATCAATAATTGTCAGAAAATATACCGCACCACAAGATGCAGGAACTCTATAAGCACCCCATAGGTCACAATGAATTAATGCAAAACAATCAATCGCCTTATTGTTGCTGTGAATAAAAACATCTCTAGTTTGTTTTGCCTTCAAACAAACATCACAGGTTTTGTTCTTACTGTTATTGAGAATAAGAAGTGAGCTAACCGTTTGATAAGAAGGGCGTCCTAATCTCCGATGCCATAAATCGCATGACCCAATTCCATCTGTCTTGTAAGCTCGAATCGGTGCCACACCCTTGAAGACATAGACCCCATCAAGTTGTTCACCCACACCAATCAGAGTCCTTGAGATGCGGTCCTATATCACACACAACTTATTAGTAAACGTCATAATATAATCTATGTCACGAAGTAACCGACCTACTGACAACAAATTACAATTGAGTTTTGGAACATATAATATGTGCAACAATTTAAAATTATTTCCATGTTCAACGGTGACTTCTTTCACGGCCTCAGTGTGCACACTATTGGGTAACCTAACAGGACAAGGTGCAACATCATAGGTGTCGACGATCACATTTAAATTCCCTRACATGTGATGTGATGCCCCAGAGTCAACAATCCATTCAGTAGAGTAAGTCTTACCAGAGAGTTTTTCATTAGTCCTGGTTTTGTAAGCATCAAGCATGCTTACAAGAGTCTACCATTGCTCGTCATTAAGCCCGTTTAGACAGGTCTTGTCTCCGTCAGTTATGGTTGCATTAGTAGCCACCTCACGCCCTGCCGATGATTGAGCAGCATGAGGTTTTGCTGAACCTCGGTCACGTCCACCAGAGGGTCCACCCCCTTTTCCCACCCCCTTTTCCTCGACCTGCTCCATGCCCGGTCGACGTACCGCGGGGTCTGTCTCCCCACCATTCCGACTTACTTGTGCTCTCACCGTTCCTTTCATTGTTGGCAGCCATGGTAACCGATTAGCAAGACTTGTCAGCAAAAATATCGAGAAGAAACAGTAAGAAACACGACAGTCTTTGATTATCCTCTGAATCGTCAACAAACCCTCAGAATTCCAACCTTCGAAGCTCACTGCAGCTCTTGATCTTCGATTTGGAACAACCAGAGATATTTACTTTACTTCAAGGATTTGACATCTATAGGCATCAACAATCATGTCTTGCGTCGACCCCAATTCAAATTCGAAGCCCATCATAATACGGGAAGTTTGGTCCGACAACCTCGAAGCCGAATTCGAGTTGATCCAGATCCAGGCAGCACATACCCCTTCTTCTTCTCTGATGGCTTCTCGAATGATCCATAACTAGAATCCAACTTCTCAAAAGCAGACTTTGTCCAGATGATGAACCGACCAAGATGCCCACTAGGAGCAAGCTTAAGTAGGTTAAGCCTCTCAACATTGGCGACTTCGATACTAGGAATGTTACAGAAGACCTTCACGACCTTGGAACCGATATAGGCAGCACATACCCCTTCTTCTTCTCCGATGGCTACAAAATTCCCCGGCATCATTTTCCGTCCCGGGGGCAGAAATGCAAAGTTTTACTACCGGAAGCCGGCTGACCATTACCTCGTCTTAAAAACCAACATGGACTACTTGAATCTCATCCAGGTCGGCTTCACCTCCGATGCCAACGGTAACCTTCCGGATTTGGGCACCAGTAACCGGTACATTTGTGAATTCAACTTCCGCGACTTCGATGTCTCCCGTGACGTGCACGCACCAAGTTGATGCACCAAGTTGGGTGGATTTTGAGGCAACAGGGGGTGGATTTTGAGAAGAACAATGAGAAGGGAATCAATTCGAGTCGATTCACCAAGTTGATGATGTCGTCGGGACTCGTTTGCAATGATTTGGTAAGTTGGGTGACGTTTCACAGTGTGTACGATTTTGGGTACCTGGTGAAGATCCTGACCAGCCGGAGCCTACCGAAAGAGTAGGGGAGAGAAGACGATGCCGATGCCAAGCGAATGTGGTGTTGTTCTCAGCAACTTCGTTACTGCTACTAATCCCTGGATCTTAGAGCACAGACTTTTTGCTCCCGTTTGTTATGGCTCTGATACCACGAGAAAAACAAAGGAAGCTCTCAAAACGATGATCCTTTCCATTGAACCTTATGGTATTTATATACAGAGGGGTTCCTTGATTCCTAGAAACAAAGGAAGTCCCGTTTGTTATGACTTTCAAACCGGGACTCTCGCGAGCCTTCTTATCTTCGTCCAATACTCTGAAAATCCCCCATTACTTTGATTGCTAGAATCCCAGTGCCGATTGCTGTAGCTGGAACTACGTCGGATGCGACCCTTCAGACCGTGTCACCCAAATCCTCTTCTACAACATCCACACTCCTTTCCAGATCCCGGAGGCCGTCGGTGACCTCCCGTACCTGAACACTCTTGACTTCAATGATATCCCCAATTTCACTGGTTCCATCCCCTACTCCATCACATCAGAACCTCGATACTCTCAGCATATGGAACACCAGCCTCTCGGGTCCTATTCCTGAATTTCTAAGCCAACTCAAAAATCTTTGGTATCTCTCTTTCGGGTACAACCAACTTTCTGGTTCAATCCTAGCTTCTCTTGGAAATCTTGACAACTTGCAAAGTCTTGATCTCCATAAGAACAAACTCACTGGAAGCATACCTGATTCATTTGGGAGATTCAAAGACGACGTACACGGCATTTTCACTCTCTATCTATCTCACAACCAGCTCTCTGGTGGAATCCCCAACTCGATTAATGTCTCAATCATCGACCTGTCGCATAACAAACTCAGTGGGGACGCGTCAATGTTGTTGAGGGATAATGCAGCGGTAACATCGATCGACTTATCTCAGAACCAGTTCGACTTTGATATGACGAAGGTGAGGTTTCCAAAGAATTTGCAGAGTTTAGATTTGTCCTACAACAAGATTCATGGCAGAATTCCCAAACAGGTGATTGAGTTGGATTTGCAAAGAATGGATTTGAGTTATAATCAGCTGTGCGGGAAGATTCCTTTGGGTGGGAATGTACAGCAGCTGGGTGCTAAATCAATTGCCTATAACCGGTGTTTATGCGGTCAGCCGCTCCCTAACAAGTGCAAGTAAACCAGTCGGCATCCAGTGAAAGAAGACACCTTCAATCACTAAAATATGGTTCTTGTCTTGTTGTTTTCTGTTAATCGTCTTTGTATCACTTCTTTTGTGCCAGGGCCATGCCAGCTGCTTTAAGATATTTTGCTACTTCCCACCAAATATATTCTGAGGTTCATTTCGGTTGAAATTTCTACGATACCTTTCATTCTATATATCCACGGCTTAATATAGAGGTAATGGTAAGTTCTTTGATTGTCAATATATTTTAAGTGATTCAAATGTAAAAGATGAAATGAAGAGGTGGAATTTCACTAAATGAAGCAGTAAAATTTTCTTGAACAACAACATCCTCTCGTTTCCTAAATGTACCCAAATAAAAATCCCAGAAGTTACGATTAGTTCTTCACTTATTAATGGCGAATTAGAGCAAAACCTAATACAGTAAATCAGAAATATAACTTTAACCTGTTCGAAGTCTACTATCCTATCTACATATGCTTCAAGAGTTTTTACAAGTACAAAGAATGGAAGTCTACATGCTTTAAGATTCAAGAACAAAAGTAAAAAGTCTAACCGGATTTTTTTCTAAATAAAAAAAAAACAATTAATCAGTTAGCAATCAGATGTTTGAACCACTAAACTGCTTGACCCGGGCAACAATTTATGGTTTGATAACAGATCATGTTATGTTTAATGGCTAGAAGCAATGTTTTTAAAACCAACCCAAAGAACATACCGATCAGGGGTCCGGTTCCTAGGTCGAACAGTCGGCCCGTTTTGTTAAAAAAATAAAAATAAAAAAAAAGATAAAAAATGGTCAAAACTGTTGAACAGTTTGAATGATTTAACTGCCCATGTCAATAGTTTGTTAACCAAATCAACGATTTTTTGGCAAAAATCTAGTTTTGAGGAAAATCGAAACTGGTCACCTTCACATTTTTTTTAGTCTGATCGTCCGGTTCGATCCGGTTCTGAAAACCATGGCTAGAAGTTTTAAGATGCAAGATGCTAGTTAGTGGGTTGTTGGAAGGCTAAATCTCTTCTAACGTGGGTAGGGACAGGTGGTATATTTTAATTGGGTTAGTAGAGAGGAGAGTAGATTAAAGTTAGTAGGAAATCTGAAGATGTTCTACTGATATGTTTTTCCAAGTGATGAAAGAGCAAACATCACACTATTCGACAAAAACAAAAAAAAAAAAAGAAAAAAACTCAGAATGCTTGAAGAATACAAACCTGGTACCTCTGGCGATTGAACAAAACAGTAACTAAAAAATAAAGAACTTGAAGAACACAAACTTCCAGTGAATGAAAAAAGTCCGGTGACAAAACAGACGGTAGAACTGATCTTCGGCGTTTTGTTTGATTCTCCAGTGACTAGCTGTGCGGGTAAACCTCCGTTGACTGGTTGCATAGATGGTCTCTGGTGACTGGCTGCAGTCGACCTCCAACGGCTGAAAAAATGCAAAAGAGGGTTAGGGTTCGTTAAAAATAGAAGAGAAACATTTATGATATAGTACGTTGCGGTGCACCATATCAATTCAAATAATGACCACTTTGATTGACTCGTGACTGCCATCTCATGTCCTTGTCGGTAGCAATGAGCTGCAGCTCCAGGAAATGCCAAATTTGACATTGCTCTAAGCCACACCTTCCTAATTTCCAAGATGTGACTTGGAGCACCTTGTTTTTGGATAAATGATTCCAAACAAATGCTCATTTGGTGGAGCACCATTTTTGTCGACATGATGCTTTTGTGGCACAGTTTTCTGAAGCAAGGACAACGATACCAAACAAACGCTTCAATTGACTCTTCTTGTTCATATAGACTGGGTCGAAGCCAACACAAAATTTCGGTGCACCGGCGGCAATAGGAACGAATCAAACACCACTAGCGGCGACTGGCGAGGGCTGTAGTGGGTTTAGCAGCTGCGCAGCTGCTGTCCTACCATTGGATGCAAGCTTCCTCTCACCTTTCTCACCGTCACACGGCGGGGATTCTCGGGTAGTATCGACTGGTTTCCGTTAGTGATGACCACCGCTTTTAAAGGTTGTAGCGGTGGCGACGGTGGCTTCGTTGATGTCCCATTCTGTGCGGACGAGGTGAAGGGTAAAACTGACATTTTAGCCCTTTCATCAATATTTACGATAATGATATTTTGTATAGTCAATTAGCTCCCAAAAAACTGTGAGAGATGAAGTCTCAATCCAACAACTTTATCCCATCCATAAAAAAAAAAAAGAAAACAACTTTAGATCGGTCGAGCTCAAGCACAGAGAGAAAATGTCGAAGTTAGAGCAAAGCATTCAGTCCAGTCCCTCTGTGGGCTAGTCAAACTAGATTTACGTATATATTGACAACCTCGTCCATCCATCTCTTCATGTCTTTTCTCATGCATGTGAATCACCACAAAATGGATACTCACACACTCCGTCTTGTGCTTCTCTCTGTCTTCCTGGTCTCGTCCTCTCTCCCGTCTCCCACTCTCTCCGCCTCATCCGTTCGCTGTAACCCTAGCGRTAAAAGAGTCCTCCTCAAAATCAAGAAATCCCTCAACAACCCTCAATCACTTACCTCTTGGAACCCCAACACCAATTGCTGTGATTGGCTGGGCGTGAGCTGCGACCTCCAAACGAACCGCGTCATTACACTCAGCTTCAATGGTATCAGCATCCCAGGCCAAATCCCGGCTGCCATCGGTGATCTTCCATATCTCGACACCCTCGATTTCGTAAATGTTGCCGATCTTACCGGCCCCATCCCCTACTCCATCACAAAACTTCAAAACCTGAAAATGTTACGTACCTTGTTGACCAATATCTCTGGCCCCATCCCAGAATTCCTCCACCAACTGAAGAACCTTTGGTTTCTTGATCTATCGTACAGCAATTTCTCTGGTCCAATTCCAGCTTCCTTAGCAAATCTGCCCAAACTTGAACTTCTTRAACTAGGAGGTAATAAATTGACCGGAAACATTCCTGACTCACTTTGGGCATCCCAAAATCGCTTC